TTTGAATAAATGTAGATTGTTGTACATAAAAAAATTGCCTGAAAATAAGTCTTAATGCATTTTTGGAACGAAAATTAATATAAGATCCTGCCTTATTTTCGGGAAAACACGGTATTAATAATAAGCTAACATGTACTACTAAAGTTGAGGGTGATAAGTAAGGATGAATTTACAGATATATGGGGAGAATGTATGGATTTTGTATTAATAAAAGGGAAGGGACAAGCCATCTTGCAAGAGTCATTACTATCTTGGAAGGAGAACAGAGTTCTATGGAGGGAAATGGTTACAACTTCCAGTTTATGCCGGTGTGGGAGAGCACTATATTCAGTAAATGTTCGTTAATTATTTATTTGATATCTATATGTTTTTGTTTATATTTTTTAAAAAAATAATGTACATCATGGAATACTTCATAGTCAAACAGTCTAGCATTGTTTACATCATGTTAAGTCTCCAAAACAAGTCTGATTGCTTTATACTGTAATTGCTACCATAGTTTAGTTAATCAGAGAGCTACTGGATTCTAGGTGTTCACCAAGAGAGCAGAGAAAACATACAATACAATTCCCCCTTCAAGAGAAATCCTTTGTCAAGGTGTGAAACTTGGAATGTATAGAGCAGTGATGGCGAACCTATGGCACACGTGCCACAGCTGGAATGCAGGGCCCTCTCTGTGGGCACACGAGCCATAAGTCGCCAGATCACTACTCCCCCCTCCGTCCCACAGCCAAACCTAAGCAGGCGGCTGCAGCCGCAGTGCTAGAGCCCCGATAGGCGGTGAGCCAGGATCCTGAGTGGGGTCTCAAGGCACCTCTGTGCACAAGATTCCCCCTTCCGCCGCCACTACTGGTTCCGTCACCACCATTTCCAGTTCCAGCACCACCTGCCACCGTGGGTCCCCCCCCCCAGTTTGGGCACTCGGGCCCAAAGACGTTTGCCGTCACTGGTATAGAGTGTCAAACTACAGTGGTGCCTCACTTAACGAGTGCACCGTTTAACGACGAATCCGCATAGCGACGCGTTTTTTGCGATCGCTAATGCAATCGCATTACGATGTTTACATAGGCTAAACATCGCGTTGCAATGATCGGTAAGCGTTTCGCTTACCGATCTTCGCATTGCGATGTTTAGAAAACAGCTGATCGGCGGTTCCAAAATGGCCGCCCGCAGCGTTTTTGCGCCCTGCCCTCGCTTACTGGGCAGCAAAAATGGCCACCGGATGGGGGAAATCTTCACTTACCGGTGAGTTTTTCCCCAATAGGAACGCATTAAATGGAGTTTAATGCGTTCCTATGGGTTCCCCCCCGCGCGCGCGCATAGCAACGAATCCAGATAGCGACATTAATCCTGGAACGGATTAACGTCGCTATGCGGGGCACCACTGTAATTAAAAGTCTATGGAAAAATCAGCCCTGAAAATATACAATGTATTTTAAAAACAACAGGTATTTTGAAAACAGAGTTGTATTTTGAGCACGTTTACTAAATGTCACTGCAAAACACTAAGCTCCAGCCAAATATGAATGCAAGGTCACTGTACCACAACATACCTGAAAGCTGAATGTGTTCACAAACTGATAAAAAGTCCAGTGTAAATATAAGAAAAAAGAATGAACTGAAAGGGTACAGAAATAATTGCTTTGTAATAAATAGAAAACTGCAATGTGTTAACATAACTAGCAGGTAGTGTTTGCAGATGTTAGAACAGGGTAGATCTCATTCCCTTCTTCTAGGGGCACCCTAGGATAGTGCAGTTTGCCAAAAGCTACAGAGGCTGGCTCTTCTCTTGAAAGACACCATGGGAAATTGAACTCCCAACCTTCAACTCCACAGTCAGATACCTAACTCACTTATCTACTTTTAATCTCTTTGTCTGAGATTATTGCATATGGAAGATGAATTCAAACAGAAGTAATCTATGTAACAAGAACAGTTTTTTATTCATAACAAGATATTTACATAAACAGCGCTGCAGGCAAGAAAGTCATTTCCATTTAGTTATGCTACTAGCTAATTTAAAAAGCACAGTAAAGGTAAAGGTTCCCCTTGACAATTTTTGTCCAGTCGTGTTCGTCTCTAGGGGGCGGCGCTCATCCCTGTTTCCAAGCCATAGAGCCAGCGTTTGTCCGAAGACAATCTTCTGTGGTCACATGGCCAGTGCGACTTAGACACGGAACGCTGTTACCTTCCCACCGAGGTGGTCCCTATTTATCTACTCGCATTTACATGCTTTCGAACCGCTAGGTTGGTGGGAAAATGCACAGAAATGGACTCTTGGCTTAACTGAGCAATGTGTAATTTCTTTACACATCCTTCCTAAAATAATCTGCCTGTCTTTCTGACAGGATAGAACAGTTACATTTCCTACTAGCAGCAAATGCATGTCTTCTCTTTTAATGTCATTCCAAAAAGCACAGGAATGACATTAAAAGAGAAGACATGCATTTGCTGCTAGTGGGAAATGTAACTGTTCTATCCTGTCAAAAAGACAGGCAGATTATTTTAGGAAGGATGTATAAAGAAATTACACATTGCTCAGTTAAGCCAAGAGTCCATTTCTGTGCATTTTCCCACCAACCTAGCGGTTCGAAAGCATGTAAATGCGAGTAAAAAAGACATAATAAATCATATATTCCTATCTACAATATTTAACCTTCTGGGAGAACAAATAGTTTCAGTCTGCTAAAGATCCATGTGAGCTTCTCAACTCTTCTACAATTGGGAACCATTTCAAGGACTTATGAAGATGCAGGAGATAGCAGTAAGTACTCCCAATTATGTGTACAGAAATTTGCGAAATGAGAATTAACAAATGTTTATTACATAGTCTTCTCTGAAGAAAGCTTTGTGCTTTCCCTTCAAGCAGCTGATTCCATAATAGTGATGGAACATGGAATTAAATTAGGTAAATCTTGGAGCAGATTCTCTATATCAGGTTCTATGTGGCTACATATTTTTTATTATTTAAATCTGTTTTAAATTGAATGGGTGTTGTTACAGAAGGAATGCATAGTGTTTGACTTCACTTTCCATCAGAGAGTAAGAGAAAATTGATCAGGACAGTTCACAAAGAGATGCTGCCAACAGTGCTTATGCAAGAAGAAAATGAATGCAGTTCTGCCAATTCCCATGTGAAAGCAACTCTGAACTAGTTCTGTTTTGCATAAACTAGCACTGATTTGAAGAGAGGACTGGCCACAGGAATATACAACCTCACAACATAGACATTTCAACTGCTACTGTCTGCTTAAATGAATTGTTGCTTTAGTAATTTTAGTGTGGAGTTGTTAAATCAGGCAATGTCTTAAACTGACTTACCGGTTGTACTCTGATAATGCCTGAGCAACTACAAGACCCATTCCCTGCAAAAACAGACAGATATGTTATGTTCTAATTATATAGTACATAAGCTAGCATATAATTATGTAGCATATCAAACACAGTGCCTGATCCCAAAAGTTGCCCCTCTAACTAACTAATGTCTATATTAGTACTGTACGTCTGTGATCCTATACAGCACTGGTCCCTAACCTTGGGCCTCCAGATGTTGGACTACAACTTCTAGAAGCCTTCACCACCACCTCTGCTGGCCAGGATTTCTGGGAGTTGAAGTCCAAGAACATCTGGAGGCCCAAGGTTGAGGACCACTGCTATACAGGACACTGATCACATCTACAGTGGTGCCTCGCATAACGAGCGCACCGTTTAACGATGAATCCGCATACCGATGGGGCTTTTTCGATCGCTAATGTGATCGCATACCGATGTTTTTTCGCATTGCGAGGGGGAACAGCTGTCCGGCGATTCGAAAATGGCTGCTGGAACACCCAAAATGGCCACCGGAACAACCAAAATGGCCACCAGAACACCCAAAATGGCCGCCGGAACATGGGGAAACATCGCAGAACTGTGAGTTTTGGGCCCATTTAGAATGCATTAAACATAGTTCCAATGGGTTTTTTTGATCTGTATAGTGATGTTTCTCCATAGCGAAGGTTAATCCGGAACGGATTACCCTCGCTAAGCGGGGCACCACTGTATTTATCCCTCTCTGAGTACCCTGGCTCCAAGTGTGGCACAGAGATCAGAGTAGCAGACTAACTGGACAGATCATAGTTTCAACTGCCATTCTGCCAAGAGGTTTGGGAGATGACCTTGAGCCATACAAACACACATGAAGCTTCAGCTGTCTCACACGACTGTTGTGAGGATAAAATTCAGGTAGAGGAAGGTGTACACCACCTTGAGCTCTTGCAAAAAATCGTAGAATAATTGAGTTGGAAGGCCTACAAGGTCATCAAGTCCAACCCCCTCCTCAATGCTGGAATCTACATCTGACAGATGGTTGTCCAATTTTCTCTTGAATGCCGCCAGCGTTGGATTGCTAACCACCTCCTGAGGTAACTGGTTCCACTGTCGTACTGCCTTAACAGTTAAGACATTTTTCCTGATATTCCACATAAATATGGCTTCGTGTAGCTTGAGCCCATTGTTATGCATCCTGCATTCTGGGATGATTGAGAACAGATCCTGTCCCTCCCTTTGTATGACTACTTTTCAAGTATCTGAAAAGTACTATCATATCTCCCCTCACTCTTCTTTTCTCAAGGCAAAACATCCCCAGTTTCCAGTCCCCTGGTCATCCTTGTGGCCCTCCTCTGAACTTGTTTCAGTTTGTTGGCATCCTTCTTGAAGTGTGGTGTTCAGAAATGGACACAGTATTTATTTATTTATTTATTTATTTATTCATTCATTCATTCATTCATTTATTCATTTATTCATTCATTCATTCATTCAATTTTTTACCCCGCCCCTCTAGACAACGTCTACTCGGAATGGCTTACAAAAATTAAAACACATTAAAACAATGTAGAAAATAACTAGCATAATGCAATTATTATGCTAGTTGAGGCTTAACCAGTGCTGAATAGAGGGGGACTAGTAACTCACAGGATTTGGAGACTATACTTCTGTTAAGGCATGCTAAAATAGTATTTGCTATTTTAAGGCATGCTAAAATAGTATTTGCTATAGAGGATACACAGTGATAAAGTAACATTCAGTATTAGCAATTCTATCAGAAGAGGCTGGAACTATAGCCCTAGGCCTACAACAGTTTCTACCACAGGTTAAAAAGAGACAAGCAATATGCATTGGGAAATCTCTGGAGAGTTTTTTCAACTAACACTGTTTGGTTCCTTTCTGTATGTCCAATACTCTTAGCAACTTTCAATACAATGCACTGTACTCACATTCAGTGTGGTCTCATCATCTATGATCGACAACTTCACTATGTAAGGATTCACAGACTGCAATGGGAAGAATTAAAGTAATGGGTTAATTCAGTGATTTAGCAAAGTCATACAATGCCTGCTTCTTGTCCTTTCAGGGAACACACATGCCTTTCAATTAAAACCACGGGACTCTAGATAAAATCTTTCTCTCAATGCATTAGCCTACCATAAACATAAGAGCTCTCTAGAGTGTTGAGAATCACCAACAGTTTGAACAAATTTTAAATTTTAGCCACCATTATAACTTTAGTAGTTAAAAAATTACCAGGAGATAGCTAACAGATTTATTAAATTCAAGACTGTAGAGCAGAGCCTTGCAGGGAGACTCGTCTTCCCTCCTTCTGTTAAGAGTGGCTAGCTCACTGAGTGCTCTGGAACAATTGGAAGGATCAGTGGGGACAGCAGATGCATGAGTGAGCTATGCTGGGGTACGTATGTGTATTAGTATACAAATATGAACCTTCCCATCTCTACTGTATAGTTCTTGTGAGTCTGTTTTCTAATTCCTGCTTGAGAAGCATTTCAAATAAAACAAATATCCTACCCTTCCCCTCTTCTTATTCTCATTCATAGGAACACATGTTGACCATCAAACATCTGAACAGCAGCATTTGCAAGGCCATCAACTAAACATATAACATGCCTAGAGCATATTTTTAAGTTCTAGGACTGAAAGAAACCTTGTGGCACAGTGATTAAACTGCAATACTGCAGCCAAAACTCAGCTCACTACCCGGGTTCAATACCAGGTAGCCAGCTCGAGATTCACTCAGTCTTCCACCCTTCTGAGGTCAATAAATTTAGCACCCAGCTTGTTGGGGGTGGGGGCAATGTGTGGCCTGCATAATTAAACTGTAAACTACCCAGAGAATGATTTCAGCGCTATGGGAAGGTATACATGCATCATGCTTTGCTTTGCTTTAATAATGCCTAACCAAGTCTTTACAGTCCTTTGCATGAATCAGATCCTTTGCCAGACAATGCAAAAGCAAAAAGAGTGATACCTTTATTAGACCACTAAAACAATCAATTGTTGTTGCAAAAGATTATCCTATAAGAAATCATCTGCTGCCTTTGCACCTCAAAGTAAATATGCAACTCTTCATTTAAATCAGGACAAGTTCATTAATTCATTCATCTTAGAACGGCAGAGCCGGAAGGGACCCTGTGGATCATCTAGTTCAACCTCTGTTCAGGAGGCACAGTGGGGAATCGAACTCCCGAACTCCTGCTCTGCAGCCACAAACCTAAACCACTGAGTTGAATAACAGTTCTATATATGCAATCAACATTTTTTTGTTATTTACTTGTGTCAGTAATGCCACTGTCAGTTTTCTGTGCCTACCTCTGGGGGGGGAGGCTTCATTTTACTCTACTCTTGCATGTCTGATGAAGTAGGTTTTTCCATTAAAACTTGTACTGAAGGATGAAAGTCAGTCTTTAAGGTGCCATTACATTTTTATGTTTGCTTTTTGCATTTTTGTTTTGCTTTGGCTTTGTCTAGATATGCATGCATAAACTATCGTGGCTACTTTCTTTGGAAGCTATAGGGAGGATTTGTTCCATATAGACATAAGCACATTCAGTAGGAGAAGCTGTAACTTAATCTCAAACAAGCAGGCCTGAACAGAAAACATGGAAGATGGCCAATGATGTGGAAACAGAGTTAGACTCTGCTGGACACACAGATTATGAATCACTGCAGATGTAGTAGAGATACAAAGTGCTGGCAAGGATATGAGCCACAAGATGTGGATATTGACCAAGTTGATAGAAAGACAATACAGCCATGAAATAAAAACACAATTATGAAAGATAGGCAGCAACTGAAAGAGAACAGGGAGGAGACTTAAGAATAGCTCAATTTCCTCAGAAGAACAGAAAACTAGAAAACAATCCTAAATTATGGATCTGCTATGGCAATCAAAAAGAAACTGCCCAGGAAAGCAGTCATTTCAGGCATGACCATCAAAGGCACAAGACTGACTGACTGACTGACTGACAAACAGACTGACAGACTGACTGACTGATTTTATTCTGCCTTTTTCCTTAAAACCTGGGTACAATTCAGGTTTTAAGGAATTCATGGTGGCTTACACGATTAAAACCAATTCATGGTGGCTTTCACAATTAAAAGACAATATTTAAATCTAACCACATTGAGTATGCAAATACTTAAAAAAGGATCATATGGATATAATACTAAAGAACATAGGCAAAACCAGAACAAACTGAAGGCAAAAGGTACTAGAATCTATTTTAAAGAAAACCCCCTTAGGCAGACAGTCATAAACGGAAAGTCTGCCCGAAGAGCCTGCTTGTGAAAGAACAGTAACTATAGGGTCAGCCTGGCCTCCTGTGGGAGAGAGTTCCAGAGTCTGGGAGCAGCAACAGAGAAGGCCCTCTTCTGTGTCCCCACCAAATACACCTGTAAATATGGCAATAATGAGAGAAAGGCCTCTTTTGGTAACTTTAACACTCAAGCAGGTTCATAAAGGGAGATGTGGTCCTTGAGATAGCTTGGGCCCAAGCCATTTAGGGCTTTATAGGTTAGAACCAGAACTTTGAATTGTACCCAGAAACTGACGGGTAGCCAGTGGAGCTGCTGCAAAAGGGGGGTTACGTGATTCATGTAACCAACCCCAGTTAGCAGTCTGGCTGCTGTGTTTTGGACACACTGAAGTTTCCCTACACATTCCATAGGCAGCCCCATATAGACTGAGTTACAGTAATCCAGCCGGGATGCGTCACTGTGGTGAGATCAGACCTCCCCAGGAATAGGTGCAGCTGGTGCACTAATTTTCATTTTGCAAAGGCACTCCTGGCCACCACTGAAACTCAGGCATCCATACTTGGGGACAAATCCAGGAACACCCCCAAGTTGTGCACCTGAGTTTCCAGGAGAAGCGTAATCTCACCCAGCTCAGGCTATATCTCTGCTCCCTGATCTGCCTTTCAACTGACCAGGAGCACCTCTGCTTTGCCTGGATTGATTGATACAGATTTACATGATATACTCAAGGATTAACTGGATAGCAACCACCTATACTGTATAAGCTTACATTCTCTCATTTAAAGTTCCAAACAGTTTGCAAAAATAAATATCACAACCAGAAAAGGTGGAAATCTATAGGCTCAAAGAAGCCCTTATCACCTTGGTGTGAAAAAAGTTTGGGAGGTATCAAGGTAACTCTCAGCTAAATCCAAGGTTTGACATTTTGTGTGAGTTTAGACAATATCTAGCAATAAAAAATTACGATGCAAAGAGAAGTATCAATTAGAACAATAACAAAAACTCAGATACTCCACTAACCTTGGAACACAGTTTTTAAAAATGCTTTTAGAAGCACACTCATGTTTTATTTTTAATGAGTATTAAAGTCATAAGGAACAAATTCATTCTCAAAGCAATTCCATTTCCTTAACTTAATGGAACAATTTAGCAACCCACGAGACTCTGGAGAAAAGATGGTATGATCAGCAATAATTTGATCAAATGAAAAGCCACTCATGCTCACTCTCTCAGAAGATTTGCAGTATTGAAGCACATACATGCTATTCTAACATTTCCCAAAGACTAAACAAGAAAAGAACTATAGAAATATGAAGCATGCTGATACAGCTTCGTTCCCCAAGTGAGAAATTATGGATTTTAGTAGACTACTAAAGATGGAATTCAAATCCTGCAGACAACGCAAACCCATAAAAGCCACGATTCAAATACTTTGCTACATGTGAACTAGCGAAAAAAGCTTGAACAAGTAGTCAGAAAGCTGTAGAAAGCTTCATTTCCTCAATAAACTAATTAACTGGGGCAGGACTGAATTCCCAAGTTCGCTTGATACCACCTGGCAAACAAATCGCATGCCTCTGGTCAAAAAACTTGCAAGGATAGACCAGAAACTTCCCTCCTGTACTGACAACTTTTCTAAAGTACTCTGTAACCAAACCACCTAGGTATTTTTATACTAAAAATATATATTCCCATAGTTGCAATGTGTATCAGAAGTGAGCTGTAAGGACCAGCAAACCACTGCACCAATGGGCATGTGATTCCTGCCCTCCTTTGCAGCAAAAAAAACCTGGAAGAACCAATGGTAGTTCTGCCATTGCCACACCAGGCCCAAAATTTCACCTCTCTGACTTGGACCTGGTAGCAGAGAGAAGGACAAAGATACAGGGAGTATCCCAGAGCTGTATTGCCCTTTCAGGTGTAGGATATAACATGACTCCAAGCCTCCTCCACAGCTCTTCAGCTTTTCAGAACCTAGAATTCCTCTTCATATTTCTTTCAGGGTCCTTGGAGCACCTCAAAAATGTAAAATGGTTGCAGGAACAACTCCCACCTCAGAGAATGCAAACAATCCCCACAGGTTCAAAGTACACTTCCAAGATACAGCGTAACAGCAGGAACAAGGCCTGTCCCTTTGGGAGAGAGGCAGAATTCTCGTAACTAAATGTAGACTCCTTTAGCCAACAAAAATGTGTACAGCTCCTAACCAGAGTAACACATATATTCTGTATGTGAAGTACTCACCTCATATTTTCTATAGTTTACTAACAAGGCAAGCAGGACAACAGCGTCATAACCATGTTCCCTGCGACTGAGAGGATTAGAGAGAATCTGAAATAAAGAAAAGAAATAGCTTAAGTGAACTATGTCTCTATATTTCAAAGGGCTGTTGATAAGCAACAGAAAAAAATTGACAAAACCAAAGCTTCCATTACATAAACTAATCTATATACTGTAGCTTTAAAAAGCCCCACCACCATTCCCATAGATTCCATCTAAATTCTCATTTTGAAAAAAAGAGTGTTAATTCTTCCCTAACACTATTTTACACAATAAGCCTCAAAATGCTGTGCATCCAATCCATAAATAACCTGGCTGAAGTGTCCTCAAAATTTAAGTGGGAAGCAAAAGCAAGATCAAGGAAAGAACATTAAAAGAAAAGGGAAGTTAACAGGCTATCTGGCACTTGGTTTCAGATTTGCATTTATGCAGCATTAGATGAAAATGTATTATTTATACAAAAGCCTTAAGTGAAATTAACTGCTCAATTTGAGATGAAAGGGGAGAAAAACTTGCCTGTAAGATAGCTTCAAAAATGCTGTTAATCATCACATACTCCAGGATTGTGTTCTGACTGATGTTATCTGTCACCTGAATAGAAAAAGGATTTTTTAAAAGAATGTTATAAAAAGGTGGTGTTCTCCACTACCATCCATATAAAGTTACCTGATTGAACACCCAGTGTTCCATGCCTTTTTTTATGATCAGGCACTTCAAAGACACAGTAATGAAAGAATCCACATTTCCCTCAATTATGTTATTTAATGAAATTCTCCCATAACTGTAGAAAGAGACCTATTCTTCCTGGACTTTGTGAATATATATTAGGACTACTTTAAGATTACTGATTTCTGGTAGGACAGAAAGTATTTTAATCATTTTATTAAATATATTCCATTCACTACTTCGCCATTGACTTTGTTCTCTCCATCGGTGATTTCACTCAGAATTATAGTCCATCCTTGTAACTGCTTTCTACTTTCTGCAAAACTCTGGAGACAAAATCTTTATGATCTGCTCTGACTTCAATGCTGCAGTTGATATGGAGCTCACAAATGTGACTGGTTTGTCCAGAGAAAATGAATATTTTCCTACCTGTAAAGCCAAAGGATCCAGGCAGGATCCTTAGAGAGGTGAAAGTTATCACAGATATGAGGAAATGGACTTGTTCACGAAAGCTCACGTTAAGATATACAGTTAGTCTTTAAGGTGCGACATTTTTGTCTTGTTTTATTTTTCTTTTGTTTTCGCCTACTTTATGAGCACAGGATAACGTAGCTACCTCTTCTAAAGCTATCACAAGTGTGTCAGATTTTTTGCCCTTTCTGGCTTAAAACAGTAGCTGAGGGGCAGGGAGTGGGGGACAGACCATGCATGTAAGTGGAACATCAACATTAGTATCATTATTAAGTATGTCAGAACCATGCATCAAGTACATAATTGCAGCATACCTAAAAGAGATAATAGTAAGATAATTTATGAAAAAAAAGACTCCTTGTATCTTGTCATACTAGGTAACTAGTAGCCAATCTTCAATTTTATTTGTTTGTTTGTTTGGTTTTGCCTATTCTTGGAAAAGGCATTGAAACATATGGTGGCTTCTCAGCTTCAAGTGTTCCTGAATAAAACAGATTATCTAGATCCATTCTGCCTTTAGGTCTGGTAATGGGAAATACAGCTTTGGTCGCCTTACTAGATGACTTATGCTGGAAACTAAAAAGGGGAGTATGTCCCTGTTGATTTTATGGGACCCTTCAGCAGTTTCTGACTCTTATCTACCACAGTATCCTTCTAAGCCATAATTCTGTGATGGAACCTGGAGGCTATGTTCTATATTTGCTGTCTTCTTTTTGGACAACTGAGTTCAGATGATGATGCTGGTGGACTCCTGTTAAATGCCCTGGCTACTAGCCTGCAGCTCTGGGTTGTTTGCCTCACCACACTATTTAATATACATGTGAACCCACCAAGAGAAATCATCCAGAGTTTGGGGTCTGGCAGCCAGTAAGCGGAGAGTGTATTTCTCCTTTCCATTCAAATCTAAGGAAATGGCCTTGGTTCTAAACTGGTATCTGGAGTCAAAAAATGGATTGGATAACAGTGAACAAATTGAAGCTTAATCCAGATAAAACAGAGATGCTTTTTATAAGTGAAAAGGCAGATCAGTAACAGGGTTCCAAATTGTAATATACAGTATGGGGTTACACTACCCTGGAAACTCAGGTAATTTGGGTGTGCTCCTAAATTGATCACTGAGTCCAGTCGCACACATCTTAGTGGTGGCAAGAAGTGCATTCCCACAGTTAAAAACTGTATGCTATCTTTGCCTAATCCAAGAGAAGTGTGATCTTGCCACAGGGACACATGCCCTTGTTAAATCCTCCATAGGTTACTATAATGCACTCTAGATGGGATTGTCTTTGAAAAATAGTCCAGAATGTCTAGCAGGTCCAAAACATTTCAGGCCATTGACAAGAACTAGTTATAGTGAGAACAGAAATTCTCTGCTACAACAGCTTCACTACCTTGTTTCCCCAAAAATACCTAACCTGAAAATAAACCCTAGTATGGTTTTTTTTAAGATGCTCGTAATATAGGATCTATCCCAAAATAAACCCCCACCTTCCACCCTTGTGCAACAAGCAAAAGAAGAAAACATGACTGTATTGGAATAAATGTAGATTGTTGTACATAATATATATATATATCCTGAAAATAAGCCCTAATGCATTTTTGGAGCAAAAATTAATATAAGACTCTTTCTTATTTTCAGGGAAACAGGGTACTTTACTGATCCATTGTGCTGTTGATGATCTATGAAGCTGTATATGTCCAGGTTATCTAAAGGGCTCTTTCTCCCTAAATGAAACCTTGTTCTCAGTCCCACCAGCCTGACAGGCACATCTGCCAATTACAAGAAAAAAGGCCTTGCTGGTGACTGTTTCAAAGTTATGGAATTCCCATCCAAGAGAAGCTAGGCTGGCCCCCTCCTTGATGTCCTTTGTTCTTATTTAAGTAGGCCACTGCTTAGTACCTTTTAATGGTAGTTATCACATCTTTAAACCAGTTTTAAACTGTTTTAAATTATATATTATGTATTTGTTTTAATCTGATGATTTATTTAATAATCTTTCCATATAATGTACTGCTTTAAACGTATATTGTAAGATATCTTGGGACATGTGAAGAAGAAAAATGGTAAAATTACTTTATGTATATCTTTTTATTTCATGTAGCAGATATGTATATATATTTAATTCCTGTAGCAGAGAAACCACAATTACAAAAGGGTGAACTTTCTCATTAATATATCTAATACAATAACTATATTTAAAATAGTAATTCATAGAGCTATCATTCTCACAACAGAAGCACTAAGCAGATGGAAGTGAAAGCATCTCTTCTTTAGAAATGAAGAACACAGCTGTTACCAAATCTGGAAAGTAAATATTTCTAACAATCACTCCATTACTTACAGTGACCAAGCAGAGCAGTAGCTTCAGGCACAAGCTCTTGAGGCTTTCAGAGCCTTCTGCACAAAGCAGTGTGTCCAAACTCTCCATCAAATTCTAAAACAAAGAACAGTTATCGCACACCAAGGCATATCCATACAAGAAAAATTAGATATTGTGCTTTATGCAATACTGCATCACATCATGATTTATGTAGGAAATAATTAATGATGGCAGAAGTCTAGAACATGTCACACTAATGTTAATTTAGAGTATTTCAGTTTTTGGAAAATACATTGTTTCCTACCATGCCAAGCATAGTTACCATGTAACAAAGATTGTCCATGCAATACAAACAGCACAGTTTAAGACAACAATTCTTTCCAAAAACATATTTCATGTACCGAAACCACACAATGGGTTTCTTTTTCAGAATCATATCACTGATTGAATTTAAAACTTGCTTACTATCGCTTACTAACAAAAATTAGAAAGCATAAGTCTGGTGTCTGTGAACAAGATTTCCCTGCATGTGTTCTAGTTACAGTATACTGTATTTGTCAAACAACTAATGGAGTTTTCAGGTTAAGTGAGATATTTAAGAGGTGGCTTTATCACACTTCGAGTGAGTTTCCATGGCTGAGTAGGGATTCAAACCCAGGTCTCCTGAGTCCTAGTCAATCACTGTAACCACTACACCACACCGGGTATCCTATCACACTCCCTTACCACACACACAAAAATTTTCCAGTCCCCAACCCCCAAAAAAGGGAACTGCTGCTTTTGCAACCTTCTACAAACAAGGATTCATCTTCTAAATAAGATTGCAAGGTCTACCTATTGTGTGAACATCAAACACTCATTCTTCAAAACAGTAGACTCCTGTTGTGATCTAATATGATTTTTGTATGTTTCTGTTCATGCAGTTCAAGCTGCAGAAAAGTATCCCTGGACCCACTGACATTGGCTACCCCAGTTCTAGGCAAGAGTTGCATTGTTATGAGCACAACACAGCTGTGTTTTGCGTTTTGCTTGTAGATCACAGCCTACAGAGATTTCTACACTACACATCAAGATAGCAACTGAACAAACAGCACCATCTACTATCATTTTCCCCTTTTAAATTCAGAAATTCAGGAAAACCAACAGAATGAAAACAAAATCCTGAAAATGAATTATAACATCAACCATATTTTATTTAAAATTTCATCCCCATTTTGAACACACCTTTAACATTGTGGGAGATACTGTGCACAATCTGTTTATCAGTTGATTACTCATGTCTCTTACATGCACATTATTATCTCCTCCAACCATCACTCTCAACTGCCATGTAAACTCTTACCTTCATGCACAATTCAGCCTTGTCAAAGCCCATCAACATGTTGATGATGTCAAATCCAGATGTGGATTTGTTCTTTTGATGGACCCCACGGATCAGTGCACACAGTGTCTGGAGAAGAAGACATAAGAGACAGGAATTGTAAAATAATACTTCCAAGTCACAAAGAATCTACCATTATATATCCCAGGAACTTATAATTAAATTTCTAGGGTGCCTGAGTTGATTAGTATAATGCAGCAGGTCAATTTGTTGTTGTTGTTGTTTAGTCGTTAAGTCATGTCTGACTCTTCATGACCCCATGGAACAGAGAACGGCAGGCTCCCCTGTCTTCCACTGCCTCCCGAAGTTTGGTCAAATTCATGTTTGTAGCTTCGACGATACTGTCCAACCATCTCATCCTCTGTCGTTCCCTTCTCTTCTTGCCTTCACACTTTCCCAACATCAGGGTCTTTTCCAAGGAGTCTTCTCTTACCATGTTAAATAAACAGGGGGACAATATACAGCCTTGTCGTACTCCTTTCCCAATTTTGAATCCAACAGTTGTTCCATATCCAGTTCTAACTGTTGCTTCCTGTCCCATATATAGATTTCTCAGGAGATAGATAAAGTGGTCAGGCACTCCCATTTCTTTAAGGAGTTGCCATAGTTTGCTATGGTGCACACAGTCAAAGGCTTTTCCATAGTCAAGGAAGCAGAAGTAGATGTTTTTCTGGAACACTCTGGCTTTCTCCATAATCCAGTGCATGTTAGCAATTTGGTCTCTAATTCCTCTG